AGGCAGATGGGCAGATATACTATAGCCATAGCTAAATTGCAAAGCAGACTTTTAAAAATCCAAAATTGCAGATATTAAGAAAGTATTCATTTTTTCTCAAAAATATGTTTCCTAAATGCTTAATCCTTTCCTCCTTGTTTGAGGTGGATTGGTGAAAAGATTTTATTTTTTTTCAACCTTCAAGTGACCTCTCCAATTTTTACCCTCCCTTTCTTACTTTCTCCCCCTTTTTTCCCCCCCGAATCTTAATCCAAGGTAAGGGAGACCTTGGCAGCAGAGACTGGTCTGAGCGTCCGTGTTGTGCAGGTCTGGTTCCAGAACCAAAGAGCCAAAGTAATACAAAGTGCACACACACACACACACACACACACACACACACACACACACACACACAAACAGACATATGCGCTACTAATAAAAGGACTCTTTCTGCACCGTGTTTGTATGCCAGAGTGGAAATCAGCCTGGTTATCTCTTCATACAGGAAACTGATGACATCTCACTGTGAGATCACTGCAGATTAATCCCCATATTTCCTCACAAAGTGGGCTCATGTGTGGTTCCCCTCCACCACTGAAAGATGTCCTTTACCTCACTGTTATTACTTTGCAATTGAGTGAACACACTCGTACGCCTGGGTGGCAGAAGGACTGTGGAGTGATACAAATGTTTTACACTAGGCCTGTATGTGAGATTTATGTCTGCTGCTTTTTATACATTTTTTTTTTAGATGAAGAAGCTGGCCAGGAGACAGCAGCAGCAGCAGGAGCAGCAGCAAACTCAGGAGCAGCGAGAGCATCCATCACATCACACAGGTATAATGTTTTAATAAGAGCGTTACTCCCATGCAAGATGATATGCTAAAGATAAAGGTAAGATATATCTCTACTTTCAATAAAAAACTGATATACAAAGAAAAGAAATACATCTATTTTACAACATTTTATAGAAGTACCATTTTAAGTATCTTTTAGCAGACAAAAAAATTATATTACGAAGTCAGATAAAGCTGAATACCAGATATTTGACAGCTTTAAACATCACCAAAGTCATTTATAATAGAGCTCTAAAGATGCTAAATGACTAAAGCAACATGAAGGTAGCACCGGGCACAAAAGCATTACTGTAACTGATAGCAGTAAACACAACTCATGTGTGTCTCCTGTGTCTTGTGTGTCCCACAGCGCCCTCCTGTGGCGCTTTGACATCTGAGCTAGAACACCTGGGGTCCTCCTATACCCACGTTCAGCAGCAGCAGCGGCAGCAGATGGGACTCACCACGCTGGAGCCGCAGGACTATGACATGGACCCCTTCAGACAGGGCCTGACCCCTCCTCAGATGCCAGGGGACCACATGCACCCCTATGGTAAACACCTCAAAGCTGTCAAACCACAATGAAGAATTACAGTATATGTATAAAGTAATGCTCGACAAAGGTTTTGTGATAAGTGGGATTGGTAGAGTGAACAAAAAAAGAATGGTATTATGTTGTCAGCGTGAGTTTGTTAAATACACAGTAGTTAGTTTATTTTTTTTCAAATTTGGACCTCAATCTCCTGCTCTGTGTCCTTGTGCTGTAGAAAAGCTCTCATTTCCTTTTTAACATGGGTCCCATCGAAAGGTTTAAGTGAAAAAACATTGCTGTCTCTTGGTGACTGTTTGATGCGATTCAATTTGTGGAGATGCTCCACTTTGCATTAAACGCTCGTGTAACTTTCTGTCAAGCAGTCCAACATAATGTCAGAGGTAACCATATACTGTATTGTGGATGGACAAAATAGTGGAAAATAACAGCTAAATTACGTCTTAGAGTATAATGTAATATAACAAAACAACCAACACTGACCTGAATGAAAAACGTCTCCAGCACAAAAACATTAACATTATATATCCTTTAAGGGATTTTGTATTGGATTTCATTATACTCTCAGTTGCTCCTGTTATTTTATCCATCCCTTGTACAGTGCAAAAATAATTTTAAAGGGCCAGTGTGTTGCATTTCTATTGATAGAAATGGAAAATATTATTCATAACTATGTTTTCATTAGCTTAAAAAGAGACCTCGATATCTTCAAAATGGAGTGGATCCTCTTCATAGTGTCTTCCTTGTTACACTGTTCTACGGTAGCTCAGAATGGACAAACCAAATGCTAGCTCTAGAGGGCCTTTTGTGTTTTTACAGTACTTGAAGGCCCCTGTAGTTCTCAGATACACTTGTGAAACTGCAGTAACGTGAGCTGCAGAATGTAAAAGTGGTGGTACTGCCAGCCGCCGACTTCTGTTACCCCTGAAGTAATTTTATCATTGTAAGGATAGTCTCTGAGCCACGTCACCACTGTTTTGCACTTGGCTGCTCACCTTACTGCAGTCTTGGAAAGGGAGGAGTGAGTGGAGAAGTATTCAGATGGTTGCAATCTGCAACCATACTGCTATATGCCATCAAATCCGGCACACTGCCCCTTTAAAGTCCTTTACAACTTCTTCAAAATATGTTTTTACTTAAGGCAGCACTTCCATAAAGTCGGGTCAAAGATGGTCAAATTGGTAAAGCAAAGGCTGAAGCAGAAGACAGAAAATGTCAGTCAATGTTTTTACATGCTATAGTACTCTATACTATAGTAAAATGATCAGTGATGTTGTGTCTTTCTTAGGTTTTAAGGGTCTGTACGGCGACATGGACAGAGACCCTCTGTGCCATGTGGCTGACAGCGACTGCCTGTCCCTGGGTGACTCGTCTCTGCTCACCCCTATTGACCGTCTCTACTCCATGCAGGACTCTTACTTCACCTCCTGAGGTTGAATATTGGACTCAGTGAGAAGCGGCATGTCTCCCTCACTCTACATCGCTCTCCGGTCGCATCATTTATCTGTCTATACCGTGCACAAGGTAGTTGAAGAAGTGGTTGCAAAATCACCGCCAAGGGGACGCGGGTACACTGTGATACCATGCAATATACCACGTGCACATGCATAAAAACATGATTACACTACTGCCTCTTATGCTTTACAATCCCACTGTACAACACAGGCTCCTGTGTATGCACGATACTGTCGGACCTCTCTCACTATGTTTGAATGTTAGATTATGATATTATAACTACTACTAATGTAAATAACTGTTTGGGTGTGTATTTGTATTTATTCTCACAATGTGTGTATGCTGTTCATCTTGAATGAATCAACAAGGATCAATAAACAATGCTTATGAAACAGTAAATATTTAGTATAGCATGTGTGGCATAGTGAGCATGAAGCTCAGGCTGATTTATTATAAGGACGGGTATTCATGCTGAGGGTTAGAGCCGGGCCAGTCCATCCTCGGTACTTATCAGTCCAATCTAGGTGACAGGTCAGCGAGGCATCTTCCCTTGGCTGTCGGGCGGATCATCAGATTGTGAAATGCTGGGCTATGACAGCTGTATGGGTCAGTGGCAGGTAAGCATCACATCCACGCCGCCATCATCAACGCTCACATTGTGCTCCTCTCGGTCAAAGGCCCTCGCTACATTTTTCTGCCTTTTCCTTCCTCCAGTCATAGAGGACGGGAGGGTGGGGGGGACGACCACCCAGGCACTGTGTCCAGCTGGAATGCACCAATCCTGGGGAGGAAGGCTGAGAAAACCCAGGGCTGGGGCTCAAGACAACGGAGGGGCTGAAAGCTGTGTCAGGGGAGAATGCCCAGGGTGACACAGAGATATGAAGCCCCACTGTATGGAGTGCCTCCTTGCCCCAGCCATGAACCCTCTCCTGGACCCATCTCATATTTCCCACTATGAAATCAGACCTTGCAGAGCAGAGAGCGCAAGTCAATGGTCAGGAACAATCTAACTGTCTGTCACCGTGGTATGCTCCTGCCAACCAGAGCTAGAGAAGTGTGCAGCAGAGTATACTGCGTGTGTGTTTCTTTGAGTATCTGTGTCTGTATCTGCTCTAAGTGTCTGGCATGTGCGTGTGTGTATGTGCTCATGTGTTAGGTGGAACAACACTCTTTGTCGTTGGGACTAAAGTATCATAATGTAGTTCCTTGTATCTTTAGAGGTAGATGAAGGGAAAGGAGCCAGACTTAAATATCAGGGAAGGAAGCCAAGGTGGTCACCTGCAGGGCTTTTTCCCCCTTCTTGTGCACGAGTCTGTGCACAGTTGGCACGCATATATGGTTGCCAGCAGCAGTGGGTGGGATGAGAAAAATAATCAAACCGTGATCATACGGTCACAGCAGGTAGCAATAACCTCATTATTATTCTGACGGTAGCCAAACAGTTTCCTGTCGACAGTGTGGTTATTTATTGCACCCTTCATGCCAACCACAGGCCACAAACCCTCTGTCTTTTAACCGCTATAATTGGCTTCATGCTGTTGCAGCGCCAAGACAGATGCACACGCTTTGCTGAAGATACTCCATTGGCCACTTCCAGCACAAGTCTGGGGGTAAACTATTGGCACAAATACACAGGGAAGATTCTATACATTAGATACAGCCATACAATAGAAATTCCATACTTAAACAGGCAGTGGATTTACACCTAAATTGGTAAGTATAAAACGTATATCAGCCCTGATATGAAATATGTTTTCAACACCATGTGAGTCACAGTTCAGGCAATTCAATTTAAAATACTGTGTTTGTGAATTTCCTGTAAATGTGGGCTCAGTGCCCAGTGTGACACATTGCACTGAGACTGATAATAGATCACCTCATTACCACTCAATGACAGCAGCTTTCTGGTCACTAAATGTGCTAAACTGACACTTTGTGGCAGTTTGGTAATCTCAGAGGTTTTCTGCCACTTCCCCCAATTGACCCTGCAGTATTGGTTCTTATTGAGGAGGTCAAATGTGGTTACGCTGAGCTGCAAGGGAGGGCACCAGCAACACAGGGTCACCCAACACTGTAACAAATGACACTGCACACAGACAACAAAGAATGACAACCCTGATATCATGCTTAATGTACAAAAACATTGTTTTTTATAGTTTATTGACACGCAAACAAGCAAACTTTACTTTATGCCTTTAATAATGAAAAAAAATTGCATGATTATCTACATTTTCAGCATTTTCTGATTGGAAATTGAAATCACAGCTCTAATCCTACTGTAATCTGTTGGTACCAGGCTTCATATAGTAATAGCAAGCAATAGGCTGCAGTATTTGAAATGACTTGCTGGAAAAATCAAGTCTCAAAATCAAATGCTGGATTATCTCTGTGTCCCCATGCAGGTGCATCAGATATGATTGCTTTTCCTGCAAAAATCAGAAACAAGGATCAGGGACACACTGTGAGTGCTACACCATGTATGTGTATGTATGAGACTGCACAGCAGCACTACAGTAGGTCTCACCTCTTTTCTTAAATCGCATTAAAATCAACAAAGCCAGTCCTATCAGGAGAAGTGGCACAGCAACGGAGGCTGCTACTACACCCGTGGACAGCAGCATGGCAGTCCCCGCTGACATACCTTCCACAAGAACACATAAGATCACAGTCAATACAAGGTTTTTACAACTTATTTTGTTACATCTTCACTGCATGTTCCTTGATCCACAGATTATTCATCATAAATCCACCACTTTGGTCCAGACTGCAATATCTAAACAACTAGATGGATTATCATAAACGTTTTTACAGACATTCATGGTTACCAGAGGATGGATTCTAGTGATCATGGTGACACCCCCTCTATATAATATCAGCATGTTAGCATTGTCCTGTGTTCATGTGATCAAAAATCAATTTACCTGTGCAGTTAGGCAGGCTGTCATTCCAAAACCCAGAGGAGGAGCAAAACAGCACCTCTGTGCCATTCAGGGAGAATCCCTCTTCACAGGTGAAGAGACACTGGGAGCTGAAGCTGAAGTTCCCCAGAGGATGGGAGCAGTTCATAGACCGGGATAAAGACAAGGCCCGAATGGCTTTACACTGTACAGCTGAGATGGTGAAAGGACAGAAATTGTAATTACTGACTTTGGATCAGCCGTTTGAATACCAGCAAAAGGAAGTTTAAGGTATAGTGAGCACTCACGTTGGCATGTGGGTAGATCGTGACTCCAGTAACCTGAGTTGTTGCATGTCATAGTTGGTGTTCCTCTCCGCCAGAAGCCCTCAGTACATTCAAAGTCACAGTGGGAGCCATAGCTGAAAGGGGAATGTGGATGGCTGCAATTCATCTTCCCATAATGTGGAGCCGTGGCCAGTAGAGGGCATGGCTGTGCTGTATATAACAAAGAATATGACCATCAGCTTCACACCAAATAATCCTCATCTTCTGGGTATTCCCTTCAAGACCTAATTATTGATTTAGGACGTGACAAGTTATTAATGTACGGACAGATGTAAACGCACATTCCAAATCACAAGTGTACAGTAATGTGCACACAGCAGGAGGGAATATATGCCAAGTGCATCTCCGATATTATATTGTGATTTATTACCCAGACAGTGGGGTATTTCTCTGCTCCACATGCCCAAAGAGGTGCACTCTGTGTCAGCTGTGCCTTTCAGGACAAAGCCTTCCTCACAGGTTGATGTGCACTGAGAACCAAAACTGAACTCTCCATGAGGATCAGAGCAGAAAAAGGAGCCATGAGAGGGAAAGCTCAGATTGGGACATCTTTTAGCTGCAGGGGAACAGAGAGAGGGAGAAAGCAACAGCTTTACTTGGTGCAGATTACAGTTAAAACATCTAACATTACATTCAGAGCTCCTCTATGGAGTATAATCAATAAATTATTACAAACTTTACCCAAGCAATGTGGGGTGTCGGTGCTCCACGTGCCCAGAGAGGTGCACTCTGTGTCAGCTGTTCCATTCAGGAGAAAACCCTCCATACATATTGACGTACACCGAGAACCAAAACTGAACTCTTCATGGGGATCAGAGCAGAGGAAGGAGCCATAAGAGGAAGAGCTCAGAGTAGGACATCTTTTAGCTGCAGGGGAACAAGAAGAAGGGGAACCCAATATATCTTTAAGAGCTTCACATGGTAAAGACGTGCAGTCAAGCCATCTAAACCATTAAATAAGGAGCTCCTCTTTTCTTTTTGAAAATCAGATCATGATATAGATTTACTGTCTTTCTGTTGTTGTTTTTTTTACCCAAGCAACAAGGGATGTCTGCGCTCCATGTGCCCAGAGAGGTGCACTCTGTTTCAGCCGTTCCATTCAGGAGAAAACCCTCCTCACAAGCTGAAGTGCACCGAGAACCAAAACTGAACTCTCCATGAGGATCAGAGCAGACTAATGAGCCATGAGAGGGTGAGCTCACAGTGGGACATCTTTTAGCTGCAGGGGATCACAGAGAAGGAGAACCAAATATATTTAAGCGCTTTACATGGTTAAGATGAACAGTCAAGCCATCTAAACCATTAAATTAAGAGCTCCTCTGTTGTTTGGGAAAAACAGATCAAGATAGAGATTTTAGTCTTTCAGCGTTGTTTTTTTTACCCAAGCAACGAGGGATGTGTGCGCTCCATGTGCCCAGAGACGTGCACAGTGTGTCAGCCGTCCCATTCAAGAGAAAACCCTCCTCACAAGCTGACATGCACCGTGAACCAAAACTGAACTCTCCATGAGGACCAGAGCAGACTAATGAGCCATGAGAGGGTGAGCTCACAGTGGGACATCTCTTAGCTGTAAAGGGAACAGAGAGGAGAGACCAAAACAATATCGTTTTATGGTGTAAAGTGATACCAGAAATAAATTACAGATCATGATACAGAAATTGTATTTATTTGTTCAATTTTTTTACCCAAGCAATGTGGTAAGTCTGCGCTCCACATGCCCAGGGACGTGCACTCAGTGCTGGCTGTCCCATTCAGTAGAAAGCCCTCGTCACAGGTCGTCGTGCACAGAGAACCAAAACTGAAGGATCCATTTGGGTCAGAACAGGATAGGGAGCCATGAGGAGGATTTATTGGGTTACACCTCTTAGCTTGAAGAAATGCATAGACAAGGGAGAGACTATTACACACATGGATAGTTAAAAAAAAATGAACAGGCGGATTACTTGAAAGAGCAATGAGAACAAACTGATTAATCTGTGGTCATACCCTGGCAAACAGGAAGTGCATGACTCCAGTTGCCCTGTGAAGAACATTTCGTCACGTTTGTGCCAATCAGATCAAACCCCTTTTCACATTGCACAGTGCATATTGAGCCATAGCTGTACACTCCCAAATGGTCCTGGCATTGCATGGAGGCATGGGGTGGAACCTTTAAACTGCTGCACCGGACCACTGGAGAAGAGGAAGAAACACTATTACTCGTCAGAGCAGTTGTCTGTTTTCAGGAAGCTTGTGTTGCTTTCAAGGAGCCCTGAGATCATTTCTGTGACCCACCTGCGCATGTAGGTGTAGGGTTGCTCCATTGTCCCGAGGCCAGACAGGTGAATGTGTCCTCTTTGGTCAGGTAGTAGCCTTCCTGGCAGGTGAAGTTACACCGCGAGCCAAAGGAGAAAGGCTCCAGAGCGTCCACACATGTCACGTTGCCCGTGACAGGAAAGACAATGGGGGAGCACTTTTTAACTGTGGTGGGATATAGATACAAATCACACTTAGTCCACTCAATGGAAGTCAATGTTCCTGTGAAATACGTCAGTTAGAGCAATTGTGTATTATGACTCCACCTTCATAAACATACCATGAGCATGAGGTGGGGGATTTGAATAACCATGCTGACATAATTTACAGCCAAGGGAAACCGTAACTGCCTACCCACATTAAATAACAATGTTGGTTTCTCGAATGCAGACAAATGAGTGTGAAGTAAAGTGATGACAGATGTGACCTGAACCTTATCTACGGTGCAGTCTGGAGAGGATGTGATTACACATTGAGGCCAGCTAAGTATTGGAAAAAGCAGTCAATCTATTAACAGGGGTCAAGTTGAAAAGGAAGTTACATGTCAGTTGTAGATAAATTCACAAAAAAATGTTCAAATAGAAAATAGCTATCAGTAACATTAAATTACAACTAGTATTAAATTACATTCAAAGGTAATGACAATCACTTTACTTGTACATGCGGGGACACTGGCTGTCCACTGGCCGGTGTGGTCACAACGTATCTGGTTCGGCCCAATGTGCTCGTAGCCTTCATCACACCTGACCTCACAGGTGGAGTTGTAGCTGTAAAGTGCGATGGGATGGCTGCAGTTCATTCTACCTGCACTGATGTTGGTGTGGTTCAGAACTGGACACCGTTCAACTAAGAAAGGCAGTGACAAACATTTTCCTTGTAACTTTGAAAGCTGAAATAACAATTGTTTTGGCGTTGTTAAGATCCAGTTGACATACCTCGACACAGAGGGACAGGGTGGTTCCAACGTCTGCTGGCTTGGCACTGCAGTTGGGGCACGCCGACCAACTGAAAGCCACGTTCACAGTGGAAACGGCAGGAAGAGTTGAAACGATTGGACCCATGGGGATGGAAACAGTAGTGAGAACCTCGTTCTGGATCCAGCAAGGGTTCGCATGCGATTGCTGAAGAACATAAAGAGGAAACAAGATATGATTTTAGATATATTATTTTATTTAACTTACAGAAAGAGGTCATGGTTGGCTTAAGGGGAGACATTCCAGGTGAATAGGGCAAAAGAATATTAATTCATTCTTAATATATCACCATGAAACTTCCCCAGTTGATAACTTACACTAGGACAATTCGTTTTTATATTACAAGTTTCTTGTATATGCAAATTAGGGATTATCACATTTGTGCTAATCTGCATACATTTCCAGAACAGAAATCTGAACATTGGATGGAGCTTTTCAAAAATGTTGCCATATTTTTAGGAATAAAATGTTAAATAAACTTCCATACATTTAGTGAGACGCAGGTAAATGGGGTAAAAATTGTTTAACTAAAAGATATCACCATTAAACTTCCCCAATTGATAACTTAAATTAGGACAATTATTTTGGTATTATTATGATGCATTATCTAATGCTAACTCATGTTGAATTTAGGAGAAATATACAGACCCAAATAGACAACATGTAGAAAAATAAACACCTTATTTTCTTTCCACTCTTGGGAAAGAAGACACATTATGGAAGCAAAATAGCCCCAAATCTCAAAATTGACTGAAGCATAAAAAACCAATGTTTTTGTCTGTAGTGTCTCCCCTTAAATACATTATGATAAAAAAGTTTGCTCACCCTCTTCGCAAAGTGAACCCAGGAAACCAGGATGGCATCGGCAGGTATAGTTTCCTATTGTCTCCACACAGTCTGCATTGGCACTGCAGGAGTCCTGTGTACAAGAGTCTAACACATACATACAGAGGATGATCTCACATGCTATAAGAAGTCTACAGGAATCAGTAAATGTATCCCTCGGATAAAATAAGGGGTGTTTTACCAGTGTAACAGATGGTTCCCTTCTTCTTTAGACAGCTCTCATTGTTCCACTTGGATGTGTCTTTCGCCCTCTTAATGTAAATCTCCACACAGTCCTGAGCTGCTATGTTATCTGGCTCCTCTGATGCCCAATTCTGAGCATCTTCAGGCACCTTCTCATGGGTTTCTTCCCAGACCCACTCTTCGCCCTTTTTGCCTATGCCTATCCAGTAATATCTTTGGTTAAACGGCAGCAGATTGTTGATGAAGTCACTCTCTGCCTGGTTCCGGATGGGCACCATGTCTGTGAAGTGCTGAAGGCACCACTTGCGGGCATCAAGCCATCTACGGTTTGGAGTGGTGCTGTAGTTGTAGTTCCATGCCTGCGCTCCTCCTCCGCTGCTCAGGTCTAGGATTAGGTTAACATATGATGAGATAAAATTGAACCGGTGAAGCTAGAAAGAGAGGAGTCTGACTGAGTTTGATTCCTGTAAGATTATGCAGACCTACCTTGGACAAATACAATGAATGTAACTATCAGCAACATGTGATGCAGGCTTTGTCTGGTATCAACCGATTCTGGAAACATCTGAAATAAAAAGAGATTTTTTTTTTCATAATCGCATAAAAGTGTGAAACACTTGCACTGATATTTCACAGGACTTACCATTTGATACGCCTTAAGTCGCTCAGTCTTGTCGATGCATCTACTCCACTTTGCTGACTATCAATGGCAAAGTGGTATTAATTGTCCTGCAGGGAATGAGTCAATGACCAATTTTGTAATATCACTTTTAACCGTGACTTCCTTTACAGGAAGGACACCACTCTAGTACCACCCATAACTCTCTGGGAACACAAACACAGACACACAGACACACATGCACCACACACATGCAGACACTCACTCATTTTAAGATTCATTTTATTTAATTAGTCTCATCGTTAGCAAAGATACCACAGAAATTCACCTCTAATGTTGTTAAATAATTTTGCACATGCATGATCTAATAGTGAACCATCACATACACATACGTTATATCCATGCAGTATATCCAAATGAAGCTTAAACATACAGTATATTAGACAAAAGGCTTCGCTAACTAATCATACAGCCTGTGCAGCCGGTGGCTGTTTAGGTTTATTTAATAACCATGTACTAAAATGAATATAAGTAACTGCATTAGGGTCATAATAGATATATTTTGGTCCCAGTTTTCTGTCATCCCTGTGCCTCAGTGGAAGGACTTGTCGCTTCTTCAGGCTGCCTGTGAGAGATGAGCAGATTGACATTAAAGGGACACTTACTGAATATTTCACTGAACTAAATCACAGCTTACGTAAAATATTGTAGCATTTTTGTTGACAGTAGCAGTACTGAACATTTGAGTGCATCAACTTTTCAAATATTGAATGTGCGTAAATGGGTGGAGTGGCTTTGGACGAGTACATTTCAACACTGACCTTACTTGGGCAAGTTTCTTTCCTGTGAGAAATTAACAGACAAAGAGATCACTATCGAGGTCTGTTGCAACAACATGCATCTCTATTTCTATGTAGTGTGATTGACAAACACTAACGTTTTCTGCGCTTCATCCAGCAAAAACAGATGCAGCAGGCTGAGAAGGCTGCACAGCCAGCCACAGCCAACAGAGCTTGTTTATAGCCTGATAAGACAAGAAAGTTCCTTTTTTTATCCTGAGTCATACAAAACTTGACAAAGTGATTTTGAAGAAGATATAACTCATCACAAGCAGAATCACTTCTGCAGAGAAACAGCAAAACCAGTACAATGGTTCACATGACTTCAAACAATTACTTGTGCAAGAAGGTCTCGGGCCGCTCCAGACCCCGGTGATCCCACAGGTAACATCCTGCGAGCCTTTTATCAGGAAGCCTGGGTAGCATTTAAAGCGACAGGTTGAGTTGAATGTCAGCTTTTCTCTGGAGCAGCTAAGGTATCCGTTATCAGGTTGAGACAGAGGGGGGCATTCCACAGCTGGGGGCACAAACAGGTTAAAGTTTACTAGGGATGCAGTCATGTAACTTCTTACACCAGCATTCTACTGTCATAACAATACATAGCACATGCTGATGCAAGTATTTTGATCTTTGAATGTAAGCCTCAGACTTGACTCAGGAAACAGAGGAAACAGACGCGAGGCTTATGATGACATACTGTATTTTGTCTAAAAAGACATTTAACTTTCTGAAGAAGTGCAGTCTGTGTCAGTGAACTATGCAGAGGAGGGAGATAGTGAAGTCCATAACATCAGAATGTGACTAAGATAAAAATATACAACACCTGAAATTGCTGACAGTGGTAGTTTTCAGGTATGCTTAACAATTGTCAGGAAATAAAAGGCTTCTAAGCTTACAAGAGCAACTGGTGCCCGATGACAGAAAGAATTGACAACATCAATTTACACTTGTTGATATCAAACCTGCATCAACGGATTTCTGATCACTTAGAGGCAGTGGATCAAGCTGTGATCCCGAAACTGACATTATTGTCACAATTTAGGTTTAAATGAGGAACTTGTTACCAAACAGCTGCTTTTTGATCATGCAGTTTATATACGGAGTAACATTTTAATCGAGTCGAAGAATTTTTGGTCTTAAATTCACCACCTTTATGTAGTTAACACAGCACATGGACATGAACAATTCCACCGACCAAAAACTATTTCAGTGTAAAAATGGGCATGCGAGATAACTTCCCCAACAGATTAACTCGAAAAAATGTCAACCTCTTTTTTAATTACATAACACCTACTGTAATAATGATAGCTGACATTGTTCCAGAGAGCAAACTCCTCACCTGTTTGGCACCTGTCTCCCTTGAAGCCAGGTTCACAGAGGCAGGTTATGTTATCTATGATCTCCTGGCATCTTCCTCTGTCACATGATGTTGCCTTACACTGGGCTGTTAAGAAAAAGTGCAATGCTAAAACAACCTCTATCACTTTTGAAACTGTAACAACCAATAAAATGAATCAGCTTTACGTACCTTCATAACAAACAGGGTATTTTGGAGTGGCGCACTTCTCATCATTCCACTTCCCTCTGTTTATTCCATTGTTCACGTAGATCTCCACGCAAAACTCCGTGATGTGGTTGTTGTTGGGCTCGTTTTGTGCCCATGACTGCTCACCAATCCATGTGCTGTTATTCCCAATCCAGGTCCAAGGCTCATTCATGTGGTTTTTAGTGATTCCAATCCAGTAATATGGACTTTTTTTTTTGGTTGGCAGCCAGGAGACTAAATAGTCGTTCTCTGCCTGGTTTTGGATGACCACCATGTCTGTGTGATTGCTCTGGCACCACTGTCGAGCCTGGGTCCAGTTCATAGTTATCTCTGAGCGATGATATTTCCAGCCCAAGGTAGTCTCGGCCAAGGTACCTAATGTGCATTTTGAAAAAACAAAAGGTAAGAACAACTCTAGAGTGATAATTCACCATCCGACCCAATTGTGCTTTAATGCTAAAAAATAACACTCACCAAGGAGGAGGATTAACATCCACTTCATTTTCATTGAGTGAACAACAAACACCTGCTGTCTGACCAAAAAAAAAAATCACAGAATAAATATTGATGAATACCATCATAAAAATAACAGAATAAGCACACTTACCCAGAGCTGGTATTTTAGAATATAAACATTATATGTTCTAAATTATATGAATAAGCTTGCTACTTAAGTTAAATTGCTTTTCTAATCGTATCAAATATAAAGCTTCACACCAAAGCGTTTCAGTAAGTGAATGTAAGAATGGTGCAAGCAGAGATCAATGTCAGGCTTTTATAATTCTCACAGGTTATGCAGTCCAACATTATAATATAATACCTGGATGTTTACTTTCCAGAGTGAATGCATGTGATGAATGAATTACTGACTTAATGACCTCTTATACCTGAACAGACCTTTTGGGAAATGGCCTTTGTTTCCTGTAAGCGTGGGGCAAACCAGGGGCAGATTTTCTTTTTTATAAGAGAAAACAAACAATATAAAAATGTTTAAAATTAAAGTAAAGCACAGTGAGGGTCACCATTGAATATTGGGGCCAACACAGATAAATAATTCCTCGCAAAAAATAGTTTAAAAAAGGGATCATTTAGCCAGTTTTTACAACTAATTGCATGTTCTTGGATGTTTTGGTGATGTACACTTTTACCTTTACTTGTAAAACAAATGTTTGACTTTTTGAAATGATCTCTTCTTTTTATATATTTACTTAAATCTGTTGCATACTGTACATACTAGCAGCATGGAATAAAGCATTTCCCTTGTAAGTAGAATAAGCTTCGCTGACCGTTTTTAGTGATATACAGCATCACTGCATCCTGACATTTTGTGAGTTCAAGTTTTTAACAGCAACAAATGACAGAGTGCCCTGTATTCAGCCTTCAGTCTGATTGATGGTATCACATCTATTTATGATTCTCCTGAAGTGCTGACATAGAAGACTCTTCGTCGATACTAAAAGATGCAGAGACCACAAGCAAATGAAAGTTTCAAGTTTTATTATGAATACAAATCAGCACTGCTTTAAGAATACAGATATATGAATGAGCATTTCAAATGCAATAACCATCGGTTAAATAAATAGTACATAAATACCGAAATACTAAAATTATTCACAGTTCTGTACGACATGGCATTCTTGGCGTTATGTAATATTTACGATAACATGAATAGAGCCAACTTTCCAGCATAGCTTTAGAACAATGTGTTCAATATAAATCTCCCTTTGGGAGGAAATACAGTACATAATAATAACAACAAAATTACAGAGCAAATCGTAAGATTCAACAAAACATAATACAACGATCAAATGCAATGGTCTGAAAAACCCTCTCCTCTCGCCATAAGATAGCTCTCACATATTCAGTGTTCCTGTTAACAAGTTTAATACTAATGTAATGTATTGATATTGTTCACATTACGATGACTGGTGACTCACATACAGTTATTGTTAGAGATAAATTCAGTTATCCTTAGTTGTCTCTGAAGAAGATGACTGTGTTCTAAATGAGGCTGCCAATGCTGTTTTTGTAGACTTGTGGAGGGTCCTCTATGTCAGAGTTGCTGTAAGAAAAGACCAAATAAAATGATGAGCACTGCGATTCAACAAACACGTTTCTTAAAAAAAAAAAAAAGGTATGATTTAAGCGAGGTGAATGCTTATCTAACCTGTTAAGCTCAAACTTGGTTGCTCTCTGTTTCAGTCGTTTCAGGATCCACACAGCCAGAGACAGACCAGACAACAGAGCGCCCCCTGTGGCCAGACCAGAAGCAATGGCAGTGACCAGAGATGGGGGAGCTGTCGAAACATAATCAAATGTGAATTATTTGACCTTTTTTATCTATAAACATGTATTTTGTTCAGGTGTTTGTATCAAAATATCTTCTAGCGTGTGTTCCTTTTCTGTTTTACCTTGGCAGGTGGGTTTCTGTCCAGTAGTCCAATTGCCATGCCGATCACAGGTCAGCAGCTCATGTCCGTCTAATAAGTAATCTTGATTGCATGTGAAGGAGCACTGTGAGTTGAACACTGGCTCACTGTTTGAGCAGTTGATGTGACCGTTTTCAGGAGCCTCGAGCGATGGGCATCTCACTGCTGTGGGAGAAGACAGCAAGGATTTAGATGTTAACCATCACGTATTGATGAAGGAGATCTCGTTTTAGTGACGCAACCCTAACATGCAAATAACGAAGGTGTTACTAACAATGCAGGTAAAGTGGGGACATGTCTGTACCTGTGCAGTTTGGTGGTGCGGCGGTCCACCGGCCTGGATTTGCACACTTCATGCTGAGTGCACCCTGCAGCTCATGGCCTTCATCACAGCTGAACATGCAGACCATACCAAGTGGATGGGGGGTCACAGCAGAAGCAGGTGAAGACAGAGAAGGGCTGCAACTGATCTGGGCACTTGTTGGGATCTCAGGAGCAGGACACCCTATTGCTGAAAAGAAAAAAAAATAAAGATGATGAGATGTCATGACGTAGCACAGAATCAGAGTACAAATAGTGTTGTAAGCACAGATGTATGTGAGCATATGCTACCATACCTTTGCAGGTAGGTATGGCATTACTCCACTGTCCGTCCTCAGAACACTGAGTGCTGTGCGCTCCCTGCAGGTCAAAGCCTGCCTCACAGCTGAAGCTGCAGGTGGAGTTTGGCCGCAGTTCAGTCAAAGGTTGGCTGCACTGGGGGATGAGGTGAGCTCCTACCTCTGGATTCTGGCAAGTGATGGCTATAACACATTAAACAAATGTTTTTATGTTTGCCACAAAGGCACAAAACAAGAGAGCTCTTTTTAATTGTATAGAGGGTGATTGGATTCAACTTTAAGCACGCCCTCACCTTCACAGCGAGGCTTCCTCTCGCTCCACACAGCTGCTGACGTGCATGTCACCTTGCTCGGTCCCACCAGGCGGTAGCCGGGGGCACAGCTGAAGCTACAGGTGTTTCCGTAGCTGAACATCACATCTGCATCGTCCCCACAGCTGACAAATTCATTGTCCAGCTGCTGGAGAGACGGGCACTGGACAGCTGCAAAATAGAGGGGGAGCAGAACAGGTCAGCAGTATTCTTTAAAAAAAAAAACATGATAATTGACTGAGATACAAAATAGCTTTAATATAATGGATATTATCAAATCCTACGAGATAAAAACATAAAAAGTGTCGGTGTACCGAGACAAAGCGGCTGTGAAGCATTCCAAATTCCTGAGGCTTCACATAGCAGGGTGTTAGATGGGGAACCAGCAAGTACGTAGCCTTCATCACAGGTAAACACACGGGTGGACTGGTAGCTGGAGGAGCCCAGAGGATCGGAGTACTTCATGGATCCTCTTGCTGGACTTGACAGCACCTGACACTGGACCACTGTGGACAACAGGAAACACATTACAGCAGGCTCCATCATAGTAATAACACAATTCTGTTGCTCTCAATATGATGACTTGAAATCAAGGTTGGTCAATATCACATCACTTTACTTATTTTTTGCAGCTTTGCAATACACCTCAACTCACATTCACATGTAGGAGGCTGCTCGGACCACTTTTTGGAGGCAGTGCACGTCAGGGGTCTTGACATACTCAGCTGGTATCCTTCCTCGCATGAATACTGGCACAAGGAGTCGTAAGAGAAGTTTCCATACTTATGAACACAATCTACACTTCCTTTATATGGAACGGTCACCTCCTCTTTGTTACACTGGACAACTGTCAACAAAGAAAACAAGACACAATTAGATATCAGTTCCTGGCTGTAAGCGACTTAAAGTAATGCAAACTTGAGAACAATTACAACATAATTTTATTTTCTTACCTTGCTCACACCTCTCTCCGTAAAAGCCCTCAAAGCAAGCGCACTCATGGCTGTTGATGGTTTCTACACAGTCTCCATAGCGGCACGAGTCGTTCTTACAGGCAGCTGGAGAAAGAAGTAGTACATTCATATAACTTGCAAAACCCATCAAAAAGTAATTGCAAAGAGTCAAATCAATAGATTCCCTCTTAACAAACTAAAATAAGACAGCTTAAATGAGCAGCTCTTGAATCCCTAACTTTTGCTCACCTGTGTAGCAAAGAGCGGTCTTCAAATTTCCACACCTCTCATCATTCCATTTTCCGGCCTGCCATTCCCTTTGAATGTACATCTCCACACAATCCTCGCTCACGTGACTAATACGTCTCTTTTTGCCGTTGTTTGGCTCGCCCTTTGCCCAGTTGGTTGCTTCCGCTGTCAGAGTCTTGTTGGTTCCTACCCAGGTCCAGACATTGTTGACCTTGCGTATTCCAATCCAGTAGTAGTTGCTTTTCTTGGGCAGCCAGCTGTTGAGATGCCCGATCTCCTCCTGGTTCTGGATGGCCACCATGTCTGTGTAGTTCTTCTGGCACCAGGCTCGGGCTTCCGGCCAAGTCATGGTGGTGTTAGAGTAGTAGTAGGACCAGCACTCTACACTAGTCCACGTGCACATCACTGAGGATGGAGGACAGAGATACAAATTAGATGGTAGAGTAATAATGATGATTAAAAAAAAGAAAAAGTTACATAGAAGAAAACACAAGTTGAAAGTGGGACGCTAAAGATTCTGTTTACATTAGAGTTACATACTTGAGCAAAGAAAGATCAAGCCGATCCATGAGGTCTTAGGTCTGCGGGTCTGAAGTAATCCAAAGCAGAACTCCTATCAGAATAAGTAAAAAAGATCAATTAAGATAATTTGAAACCCTAAATGTATCACTGACCACAAACAGCAATGAAGGAATTTGCACGAAAGAGAAGTTAAATTGATTTGTCCACTTACCATTTTAAGTGGTATGTGTGATAACTGGCAAAAGACTCTTAGTATTTCTTTAGTCTCTTCACGTCTGAGGATGAGATGATTCTGACTTTTATGTGCAGAGGAGGCTGCTTTTATACTCTTCGTCGGTCTGGTCCACTTTTCCTGGAAGCGCTCATCAGAAGTGAGCTATTCAGTGGAAATTCCCACCTACCACCGCTACTGCCCCATCCCACCAGGGTTCTTGGGAACTTCCCATCACTCTATTTTACTCTGATGCAAAACAAATCCTTTGTTTTAATATTAGTATTTTTATCATTGGAAAGTATTTCCTCAAGTACTGCATTTAATTACAAAGTTGTACTATACTTGAGTATTTCCATGTTATGATACCTTACTTCTACTCCACTACAATTCAGAGGGAAATATTTTACTTTTTACAATCCATATGACTTCTATAGTTTTGTGTTATTTTTAAGATTTCCATTTTCATCCAAACATATGCTGAACTTACAAAATGTGATGTTAGACATAGCTCCAGCTCAACCACATCATTAAATCACCAATAATACTTAAACAATCTATATTTTACAACAATCGTGCACATTGACCGGGGCAATTCTAGCTTTATTTTTGATACTTAATTACATTAAGATAATAATAATATATCTTTGACTTAAGTACAATTCTCATTCTCAATGCAGGACTTTAACTTGTAATGTATTAACAAGTACATTAGCTTTATTAGTGCTTTTACTTACTGTAAGTAAAGGATCTAAATACATGCCTAAAATTGTGCTGTACTGATAATGAACTAATGTGCACAAAAACTTGGCAAATTAGCGCACACGTAGCAAAGAAAATAAATAGCACGAACAAAAGTGATACGTTTCCTGGGGAAAGCACGATAGCACTCGGCACACATGCTGGAGTGAGGGGTGGCTGAGAGGGAAATTGTTTTGGGAGCTGTGAAATCCTGTGAGCTGATAAGACAGAGTGTCTGAGAGAGAGATTTAGAGTGCCAAAGATATCCTCGTTGTTTCCTCTTATTTGAATTTGAATCTTTTAAATAATTGCCACCAAATGAAAGCAAAAGAAAAGTGCAAGCTTCGTGAGTGTGCATGTTGATTAATTCCGGGTGATGCCTAATAGTATTAGTAAATGTGCCTGAAGACGATCCATAGACTGGAACTGGCTTTTCACAGTTTAAAGGATGTCAAAGGATGTGCTCATCAAAAAAAAAGGAAAGAGAAAAGAAAAACAATGGCAGCGAACAAACACTTTACTATTGTTTAAGAGCGTCCAGAGACGGGAAACGTGTGCAGGAGTAGAGGCGTCTGCTGGCTGCCTGTGTTTCCAGAAGTCACAGTTAATATCCTTCCTCTCTGACTCGAGGCACTGGATAGTAGCCGCTGTTGCTTGACACCTCTTAACCTCCATCCTTTCCCCTGAAAGATAATTAACTTATACTGAACAAGACCCAAGGGAGAAACTCAGTTTCAGCTTTGATTAGAACATCCTAAACAGATGCTTATATGGATCATGGGGAGCTGATTAGGGATTTAGTCACAGATTTATTCCTTGAAATAATCATGCATTACAGAAGTGGGCTAGGGCAAATCCCTTTATGTGAGGATTACCACATTACTGTTACTGTTATAGACTACTGGAATGATAAAACGCCACTGTCGTATTTGGCATGATAAAGCGTGAAAGGAGAGGTTTGTGTTTGAAGGCCGCATGATGGATTACTGGTGTAAGAGACCATCTGGCAACCATAGGTTCAAGTACCTGTGGCAGAAACTGTTGTCGGCTGAAGTGATCTTGAACCAAGGACTACATCGCTACCAGCTTTGACTCTGACCTTCCTGATAGACACCAGCGGAAAATCTTCTCTGGCTACAGGAAATAACAAATCAGACAGAAAGATAAAAGAAAAGGGTGAACAATAGGCTTGCCAACATGAGACATATTGTTGACCTCTTCCCTTTGCTATTAACTGGGTTGGTAAATGTAAGTGCACCAATCTATAGTATTGACTACATTCTGGTTTTCGAGGGCTGTACAATTCTAGCAGTTCCATCTTGTTGCCACATGGGGTCACCAGCGTGCATTATCGTTAACAGTAATGGCGACAAGGTTGCAAACTGATCTGTCCCTTTAAGACAGGAAATAGACGTCCCAAATAAAGGCATCAGTGAGACTGCACCATGTTGTCTGTCGTCTGTAGACCTCTGAACGGTCTGAGAGTCTCCGGGTGCTTTGACGAAAGCCACAGTCACAATGGCAGACGCTCTGGCGAAAATCCCCGTTGTTGAGATCGATCCAGAGGGAACCTTTAAGTACATTCTGCTGAGAGTGAAAGTGAAAGATGGCGATGTGCACAAAGACATAGTCCGGGGCACAAAAAGTGCAGAGTATCACAGTAAGTTCATAACTGTAGTTTGCTGCACAGGAGCCCGTCAAGTGGGTCCGTTTTGCTCGTGACAACATGCAAACCGAGACCTGAAATGTTGCTGCAGATTAAAATGGGCTGCGACCTGAACCATGTTCCTTTGGGTAGACGTGCAATGTGCATAACAACTGCACAGATGAGGCAGATGCAATGCTTGCCAACCTCATGTGTTGCAAATATATTGGAGGCAGAAGCTTTGAAAGATAAACTGGGAGATTAATGACAGAACATGCTTTAAAGTCTTGCTTTTTTTGACTGCCCTGTAACTTAACCAGTTTGTATGTTTTGATTGATGGAATTATTTGAATTATTTACAGATCACATATTTGAGAAGGTCAATCCAGCTATGGAGGCCTTGGGGATGGAGTGCAAATGCCTCGGAGGAGGGAAGATAGAGCACAACACCCAAGAGAAAAAACTGAGGGTGTTTGGAGAATCAACTGTAAGTTCCTTTGGTTTTAAAAGCTGAATTAAATACTATTAATTAAATAAACTTTTAATGTAATAATGTAAATGCTTTCTCATTCATTTTCAGGCGTATGGTAAAGCAGACCATTCTGTGTCTGTAGAGAAGTTGAAGAGTGCCTTCAGCGACTATGAGATCACCTGGTCTGATGACAAAAAATGAACCTACATCTCATTTGAAATATCTGCCTTTATTAGTTCCAAAACAACCCTTATGTGCAACCATTATTTAATTGAAGTACACCATTATGCATTATCTGTTTGCTTCTGATTCTGTGAAAGCACAAAATAAAGTTTTTTTTGACTGCAGGTTTTTTCATTTTTGTAAACCCAAAATATGAAGGATTTGGTATAAACTTTCCAAACCTCATTTGCCTTATAAATAGAATGATTCATCTTTACTTTTGCTTGGTGTCTGATTGACTTTATCAGAATTGAAGGCTGCTTGCCAAGCGTAAAGTCCATACAGGAAGGGGTGAGCCAGTTGGAATCACTAACATATGTTGCTCTGAGGGAAAGTTTATTGTTTAAAAAAGACGGATAAGGGGGGCTTTCACTTGCTGTGAAAGCTTCCCGTGTGTTTGTAATGATAAAATTCAAAGTGAATTCCACAGCACTTTACAATTATACAATAATAGAAGATTTGACAATCTGAGACAAGAATAACAAAAACATGTTCACAAAAAGATAAATTGGCTGAGCTGAGTCATATATCAATTTAAAAAAAAACCTGTTCCTATTTACTCTTACCTTCCAGCTCACATTGAGCAGCCCAATTCCCTTCAGTTATATTTAATACACTTTTGGGGGGGGGGGGGAATTAGTCACAACTGTGGAAAAAATGATCTAATGTTTTCCGTCTGTGGTCTGCACAGTCTAAGGAAAAACAAGACTAACACTAACATAACGTCTCATACCCATACCAATTCTAAGCAGGTTTTTAGTAAATTGTGTGACGCACACTAGAAAAATGACAAAATACAGTATAGTCAAAGCGAACATGCACACTAAAACTGTCAATTTTTGAGTGTGCCGTTCATGCACTCCCACAATGCAATGCACAAAGGAAATTGAGGTGCTACTCAAAGTTGGATTGTGGTTGGTGGTGAAAACAGCTTGAAAAACATCTTTGAAACAAAAAATAAGTATGTAGTCTTAGAAAATAAAGATGTTGATGTTTATTTGTGAATTTTAATTTGCATTGACATTCCTAAATCACAGTTTGATTGACACCCAATGTTACACACATTGTATAATTCCTGCTTGTATTAATTTGTTACTAGGTTGATAGTCCTAGACCAACTGCTAAAACAGTATGTTATGACAGTACGTATATGGATTTGTGATACAGCTTCAGAGTCTACAGCCACAGCAGGTAGAATGATTACCATGTTCACCCTTTAAGTTTAGCAAGTCAGCATGCTAACATTTACTAATTAGCATTAAACACAAAGTACAGCTGAGTAACTAATTCATTTTACAGGCATTTAACCTGATGATGGCACGAGAGAAAAAGTTAAAAGATTACAAAATGGTTGACCGATTGAGCATCTGTTTGTGAAATGCAAATTTAACGCCAACAAAAAAAAGGAAATGACATTGGCTATTCCTAAAATGTTTGACACTTTAGCATCTGTGATCTATCCTAAGGATGAAAGGTAGAAAGCCAAAGTTCTAATCTGTGTCGACAGCAAGTGATGATACCTGGGCTGTTCAGGTGCCTCTAAATAGGAGACTGATTTGCTGTTGTTTATACATATTAGCCACAAAATATTACCTTTATTCCCACGAGATTCAACTATCCATATTACAAGGGTCTACATCCTTTTTCCTGTGGGTTTTTCCCACATGTCTGGGTCTTTAAAGGTACATTTTGTATTCCAGCAGTTAGGCACATTCTTTCCATTACTTTCTTTTCTTTTTTTTTTGCTTGTGACTCACCAGGTATCTGGTGAGCTATAAAGAAAACACTAAGAGGAAGAGTGGTGCGTAACTCTGCTGACTATATTATTAGCTCCATTCACCTTGACCCTCATCAGCAGACTCAACGTAGACACCGATACTGACTGCATTGTGACTGTGACCTCAAAAAAAAAAAGGAAATAAAGGCATCTTCCTTCCGTTTTCCATCTCAAATCCGGAGCAAGTTTCCTATAAACTGATAGCCTTTCTATTATCTACAAACAGGGGGGTCAGCACTGGAGGGAGAAGTATTTTACTGTGTTAGACTCAACCCTCTTCTTGGAAACTGTTGGGATTAATGAGATTTCTCATAAAATACTAGACTTGTCTATGACCCAACAGTAATCAGTCTGTTTAGTCATGTAATGGTTCAAAAGGCAAATTATGTAATCTAGTTGGAGGCCTTCGTTTTAATCTTTACAATCTCACAGAATACAACCCACAGAATAACTTTTCCTTTAATTTGTTGAAAGTTATCCTGTTTATGTAGTATGTTGAGTATTGCTTTTGAAGTACTTATATAATGTATACACTGTACACAATGTAAAATGGAAATGCTGAGACACGCTGTAGATGCTTCATTTCGTCCTCGTTGTGGACAAGGGAAAATTATTTTGATTCAGGAGCAATAAAAAATTTCCATCATCCTACAATAGCCAAATTACTGTATTCTACAGGAATGTTAATAATACTGGTTATGTTGGGACTTAGGTGAGTCATAAATAAATAAATTGGGTCGAAACTTCCTTCCAAGTGTAAGTAGAATACACAGCAAGCAGTTTTGCTATAAACTGTATTTGAAAGAGATAAGAATCAATGTGTAGTCCTGTTTCCTAAACAATAAGTCCGTCCTTTCCTGCAGCCACAGGCGTTACCTCTGTCGGGAAACAAAGGTGCAGCAAAAGCGTGATGGTTTACTTCAATGCTTAAGATCGTATCAGTAAAACAATAGCTCACCAAACACTGATTTTATAGAGTCAATCAGGTCAGGGCCAAGAGAAATTCCAGACTCCTAAAGGATAAATATCGTCCTTCCCTTAACTGATTTAAATATAATCTAAAAATTCCTAAACATCTCAGTCATTTTCAGCCCAACCTGCATGTGTTTACTTATTAATTAGAAATACATTTATATACATATAGAGTGTACTGCACAGCAAGTCATAATCCGTGTAACTAGGAAATTGTCATTTCCAATATTTATCCGTTATGTGCTTCATTTTATCACTGACAGAGTTTGTCATCAGGTCAAAATGGATAAGCATGGAGTGAAAATTCTGAAACAAATATATGATTTAACTAACTTCGAGAGGATTAAAACTGCTTGTAAAAGGAACAGAGACAAAACCCTTACAGATGCGTTACAGACCCTTACCTGCCTCTCAACTTTATTTTTAGTCTTTATTTACAAAAACATATTTTTAATTGAAACCATCATCATATTTCATCAGAAGTGCCCTTAATTTGGTAAGGATTATTGAATTTAACCTTCATTACACTAGAGACAATTTACATAAATGTAAAATGATACACATCTGAAAAATATTTAAGAAAAATATTATAGACATATATTTTTGACGGATGTACAATATTATTTGGCTACGCAGGCAGAATGTATTTACATGTATTTATAATTTTTGCAATACAAAAAGTATTCTGTCTGTATATATAATATTTTAGTTATTGTGGATTTTTACTTAGTTCATATTCTTTACTGTTTTATTACTTATTTACTTATTTATAATACTTTTTATTTAACTATGTCTCTTGTTTGCCCTACACTGTATGCTGCTGTATCCTGTACATTTCCTAATAATAATAAAAGGATTATTTTATTTTACACAGATTCATGATGATGGTGTTATTTTCAACGGTTTGCATTCATCACGTTCTTCAATTGGTTGAAACCTTTGGACTTTAACATTTCAACCAATCAGAGTGAGGGCAGATGAGCAGCCGTTGCGCACTACGTCACATCCGATTCAAACAACAGCGCGCGGTATGTCTTATCCAAAGCGATGCAAAGACTGTAAAGTCCACAGTCACTTCTATTCTTTATAAGTGTTCCACGTTTTAATAAATAAAATGGTGACGCTAAGAGAAACAAACGCGTCGGTGTGACTGTGTGCTCCTGAACAGAAGATACAGTCAATACTTTATGGTAAGAAGCTGTACGTGTTATCGAAACTATCATTAACTACCATGCTAACTTCAAACGTTACCGTTAGCAAAACATATCGTAGCAAGCTAACGTCAATCTCGTCTCTCTCGCGTTCAAACAGGAAGTGAATTCTTACTGATAAAGCTATGGTAGTAAATTGAGTCAGTTTGAGTGACTCAGTCGGTGATATTGTCCTGAAACGTTGTGTCCTGACCCTCCCGGAGACCGCTGTCATCATGTCCCAGACCAACACATCTCTGCTGGACGAGGTGGTGCAGTGGAGCCAGGAAACCTGCCGCCAGAAGCTCAAGTCTGTCCTCCCAAAACTCACCATATCCTCTCAAACGTTGCATCTAGCTCTGTTTCATTCTTCAGGCTCAGCTCGTGATTCATAGCATCATACACGGGTTCGGTGGTGGCAATATGCCAAATTCTTATGAATATATATTGAACAACACCGACATACCCTCCCAAGATGATAGATGGTAATGTTTGCTAAATGTTTGGCTTGGTATTTTCTGGATGAAGCACAATTTTGTGTTTTGCTCATGCTTATCCATCACCTATCGGGTTTATACAAAATTAATTAATTTCCTGTTGCTTTCCTTGACTGTTTGCACTCTTTGCATAATACCTCTGAGAGTTGGGATGATCACATACGTAAGTTTCTTCACTGCACAATTTGTATTTACAGACTGCTTACTTTTTGCGTTGAGCACTATTTGTGATCTAAGTATGAACTGTCTTATAAACAAAACATCCCTACAGGTATACTGAAGATCATTACAGACATGTTCCTCCCTCATATCGGATTGTCGGAGCTGGAAGATGAGTGCTTCTCCAAGATCTTACCAAAGGTAAACAACCAGATAAAAACATATTGTCATTAGGACCTATTATGTGAATATCTTTAGTAGCATTTGTTAAATAATGCAGAGTTGTCTTGTGAATTACGATTCATTTACACCTTCTCTTAAAGGTGTATTGCAGTATTGATTTGTTTCTGTCTTTATCTGTCACACACGTCTGCAGGCAGTGACCATGTTTGAAAGCATGATCAAAGAGATCTTGGACCAAGTTGGAGGGCTGTCCAGTCAAAACACTGAACTGTGTGCCTTACTAAGAAACGTTCTGCAGGTATGATTATTATTACTTGTTGCATAGCAAGGCTGTGTATTTAAAAATGGTATAATTAGCACCATACAAGTTTAGGACATGTATGATATTTATTTCTGAAAAACGTTGTCATCACTTCTTTTACGTACCAATATTTTGACAAGATGCTTTGTATTTCAGGCAATGGTGCAGATTATTGATGCCTTGTCATCTTGTGTGCGTCACATTGGCACGTTTGAGGAAGCCCCCAACTTAGATGCCATCCGCTCGTTACCGACTTGTATCCTGAAAGTCCTGAAGGAAACCTTTCAGCACTGCAAGGTTGGCCTGTTTGGTTCCTCGGTGGCTGTAATGAGTACATTTAACTCTGTGCAGAGCTCACTCCCAATCTGCTGTGCATGCTTTTATGCATCTTTAATTATTCTGTGCAATAATTGCTGTAATTATGGCTGAGTGGTTTATATTTTTAATATTATTATTATTAATAAAAAGCATGCTACCATTCATCAGAATGAATTATAAAGATATA